TTTACGACAAGTTACTTTTACTTGTATTTTAGATACTTTTTATGGCGATAAACTGATTTTATTGATACGCTTTTATCTACCTCAGTTGGAAAGTAATTCGAAGTTTACACGAACTGAAAATATGTATTCCTGGTAGTTTCTACTCCAACTTCTACTTCTACATTTGACGTTTTTATAAATATTTCTAGTCGACTTCTGAATATCGTACCCCGAAGTACCATTCTGCTTTCAATTAAAGGTTTCGACAGTAGCATAATATGTGAACAGGGATTTAGTTCTAGTTTTCTAGGTTAAGTTGAAATTAAATGGAATGATCTCGTCGCCTTCCACTACGATCCAGACGTGTCTATTGTGGCTCATGTCTGACTCATAGTTTACCTTTTGATGAAGGCTATGGTTAAATTTGGCGAAACTCGTTCAAAGAGATTTAGATGTCTTTTAAAACCGCAAAGTTAGATTCAGTTTCAACCAGGGTTTACGGTGTTTTTTGTTTATTAATTTCTTAAACATAGTTTAAGTTGCAGTTGGTTTTTTTCAGCTCTTTTTTTAACTACAGGGTTTTCTTGTTTTATAACAGTACCTTCTGTTAAAACTTTTTGAAAATTGCAACTACTTGATATTTAAAGTCTGAAACCACTGTTTCATTAATTATATAACTAATTCTTGTGAGGTTTTTAATTTATTTTTTATTTCCAGCCATCGCCAGTTGTTGGGCAGATGCTACTAATAAATGCACACATTGTGCAACTTCTTTGTCTGCTGTTACCAGTAAGTATATTTATTTTTTTTATAATTTGAACTGGTATATTATTAATTATATTACTAAATGTAATGGGTTTGTTAGTTTAAAAGTTAGAAAATTAATAGTTATAAAAGCTTTATATATGTATTATGGATTTAAGTTGCAATAAATTAATTTACTTTTTATTTAAAATATAATCATCAACGTACAATTATTAATAATCTATTTTCATTTAATTTCAGATATTATCACCAGTGTGCAAGAGGCTTTGGCTTCAATTTTACATGTTCTTCCACTAGGTCTTGGATTGATTATTGATGCCCTACTTAGTCTCTTGGTTGTCATAATTAAAATTTTAGGTAAGGCCGTAGCTGGAGGAGCTGGCTCCTTATTAGGTGGAATTGGCCATTTGCTTTCTGCTATTCTTGGAGGCATAGGCAAATAATTTAATTGGATCAGATGAAAAATGTCTTAATTGTAAAAATAAAAATTTTAAAGAATATAATTTTTTTTAATATCAATTCCTTGTCCTACCAAAATAACTTTTTCTGTAACTTAAAAATAATATTGAGACATCTATTACGATAGTAATCAGGAAAAAGAAGAAAATAAAGGAAAATAATATAAAAAAAGAAAATTTCTAAAAAAATGTTTTTATTTAAAAAATTTACATTTTTATACATATTAAATATTTTATTTGACATCATTTATTTGAATTATAGGTGCAGTATTAAAACAACTATTTTCTCAAATATTGTTATTTAAAATAATATTCCTGCAAATCGAAAATTAAAATTTATATACATTAGTGCATAATTTTTCAATATATAAATAAATAAAAATAAATCAAAATAAAAAAAGTTTTAATTAAAGTTATATGGATTTTAAAAATAAATATTTTAAAAATATTTTTGGATAACAAATAAAAATGTACGTTTTTTAAATAAAACACCCTATATTTTATTTTATTTTTAGAATGGCTTAGGAATACTGTATTTAACCCTAGAATATTTTTAAAAAATATTACAGTATTGCCAAACAATAATTTTTTTTTTAATTAGAGAATGATGCAGATCCCAAATTAAATTATCATAATTTAGGTAGGTTTACATTAATTTCAAAATTATTTAATATACATACGTTAAATACTAAGCTAACAAATAGAGGTGATACAACTGGTTTATTCTATACAGAGTGATCTGAAACATGTCTTAAATATGGCTAATTTTAAATTCAATTTACTCAATTTTTTCAAATACAACACTGTATATTATATAAACATTTTCTTGGTTTATTTGGTCTTTTTTATGTTCAATTGTGCTGTAACTTAAAAATAATATTAAGACATCTATTACGATAGTAATCGGGAAAAAGAAGAAAATAAAGGAAAATGATATAAAAAAGAAAATGACTAAAAAATGTTTTTATTTAAAAAATTTACATTTTTATACATATTAAATATTTTATTCGACATCATTTATTTGAATAATAGGTACAGTATTAAAACAACTATTTTTGCTTTTTTGTAAACATGCTGTACTACAGTAAAAACCACTTTTTTTACATCCACAAACAATACTACTTCTCTTTTCACAATTAAAAAAGAACATTTGAAATAGATTATCCGGAGCTAGTAATTAATTGATTGTTACTGAAATTAACATGTTTTTAGATGAATTTAAAAAACGCAAAGCTAGAAAATAGAGAATAAAGTATTATTTGTACTTTGGAAAAAAATATATTTAAATTGTAAAACTAAAACTGAAGGTAATAGTGACGAGGAAGAAAATGAAAGAAATAGAGATGACAGTGAAATATTAATGACCCAGACGACTGATAATCCTCTAAAATTTCAAACATATCAGTAACTCCAGAAGAACATCCTATAAATTCTAACTCCGTAACTTACGAAGCATCTGCCAATATAATGGCTGACATTGTAATTCATTCAACGCCACAAAAAGAATTACTAGAAAAGTAAATACTAACTCATCTTAATATTGATATCAATATTGTCACGTTATAAAAAATGTCACGATTCACGTGCTCTTTGATAATTATGGGACTATTTGTGTCCCGGGAGTTATCAAGCAAAATATATAAATTCAGACCTCAAACATGTAAACACAATTTAGTCTTAAACATGGTTTCGTAGCCCTTAACTGTGTAAGAGTTCTACTCTTGATATCAGAACCTAACCTAAGGGTTGAAGGAAACACAGTGTTCTCAAAACGAATATAATGAAATAAGTATTTAGAATAATTATACAGAACTATGTCGTAACTGGACATACACAAATATTAGACCATCAGATAGTGACCGATTTAGGTGTCCCAATTTCGCATACAAGAGGGTTGAAAAGTACATCGATGTTGAGTAGAATAAAAGAAAATTTACAAATGGCTCCTGGGAATAACACATGGAAAACTCAATTTTCCTTATCAGAAAAATTTTCGGATCCCAAATTGCACTTATACATTCGGGTCATTCAAGAAAATATGTTTTTCGGACTATTGACGATGTACGTTTTCATACATGTGGAAAAATCGGGTTAAATCTCGATTTTTCCTTAGAAGATTACGCCCCAATTTAAAACCAACCCTTTAGCCACTTGCAACATTAAAGTCTTTGGTTTGGCGAAGCCTAGTTCTATTAATTAATCATATAGTGAAAACGGCTTATGTGGAAAAATGGGCAACAAATAACCTTTCGTTTTTGTTAGGGAAAATCGAATTTTCCAAGAGCCACTCGTAAATTTTCGTTTATTCTACTCAAAATCGATGTACTTTTCAACCTTCTTCGAGGCTTGTATGCGAAAATGGGACACCTAAATCGGTCACTATCTGACAGACTATATGGGCTAAAACTATAATAAATATCTTTAAAAACAAATTAACTTACCAACTCCAATTTAGGGGCACACGTCACAACTTTTCATTCAAGTCAATACCGCGATTAAAAATACAAAAAAAAACTTTTTATTTAAACTATAGAAGTTCTGAGCTGGAGCTGCACAGAAGGATCCTCCCCATAGGAGGCGTCCCTTGTAGGAGATTCCCACTAGTAACTTTAAGTCATGAACTCTCTCATTTAAAAAGCATACACATCTATCTTTATGTCCTTTTGAAAGTTTAAGAATTATTCAATAATATAAAGTGCTTCTCCTCATATAAAATCTAATTTTATAAGATTGAGCTATGCCCATGGACACTATTGTTCAGCAAGTCGACAACTAACGTATCAGAAATTCAGGAAATTCGAAAAAAGCCATTTGTACCAGGTGAAAACCTCCAGGCACTACACTAAAAACAATCTTTTTTATCTAAAATATAACGTATATGATTATTTTCAATTTTTAGCGAAATAAATAATATACGTGTTTGTAAAGATCTTATATATGTATATTCATCTGAAGACAATTTTTAATCTGATGAAGATTTATTTTTGTTTAAAAAGAGTTGATATAATTGATCAAAACATGTGTGTTCCATATTTTTTTTTTTTTTAACTAAAAACGAACTTTGAAAAAGTGGCTCAAGTGGAACACAGATTATCCATTTCTGAAAAGTGGAAAATAATCTTTAAAAATGGAGTAGAACAAAAAGTTAGGCGTACCTATATATGTTTGCTATAAGTTAGGTCGAGATACTTTTTCCTCTTATTGGAAGAAGCTAACAGAAGCTAAGAGAAGCTAAGAGAAGCTAAGAGAAGCTAAGAGAAGTGTTGTGAATCTCAAAGATATCGTAATTTGAAAAGATTTATTGGACAAATTTCGTCTTCTGGAAAGAGTTGAGATTTTCTTCTACACACACTAACTAGATTAGTTAGTATGTCGTTACGCAAAAATAATTGGAATATTCCCTAAGATATGGATGACAAGTATACCAAACGTCTAAAAAATCAAGTAATGAATAAAGAAAGAAATAGACAAAATTGTATCTCAGTTATAAACGACCAAAGACCCATTAAACATATGTTATTTTGAATCACCTTGGTGGTCTTTATCCACAGTTAACGTATGTCCGTTTTTACATAAAGCGTTTGATATAAATCGGTTTGGTTTTGAGAATAAATAAATTTATTCAATAAACAAATTAATGTCTTAGTGTAACTAAATTTAAATAAATAAACGTTTTGCAATATATATTCCAATATTATATAAAGGAAAACAATAAATAAAACAATTATTTTAAGCTTTATATATTTTATTATAATTTATACTTTTTCTCAAAATAACATTTTTGGCCGACCAAGCATTTTATTTGTGTAAACCTCCAAGTACACCACCGAGTGCAGTAACCAGGTTGGAAACAATAGTGCTAACATCGATTAGACCTCCAGATAAAACAGTTCCAATTGTCTTAAGGACGAATACCAAGAAGTTACATATTGCAGTGATTACGGCTCCAAGACTTAGAGGAAGAATTTTCAAAACTGGTTGTAAAGTCTTTATAACCAAATTAAGCAAGTCTAAAATAAAAGTTTTAATAATAATTAACGATTTATTTCAATTTTAAATTACGAATATGAAAACTGTAATTGAAAATGTTTAACTTACCAACAATAGGAGTCAAAAGGTTGGGACAAGTACATGATGGTTTTGTCGTTATTTCTGCTGATGTTGTTGCTGCCCAGCAGCTGGACATGGCTAAACATTGAATAATAATTAATAAATAGAATAAAAAATTGCTACTTTTATCCCCACATTGTCATATTTTAATATCAATAACTCAACTTTCAAAAACGGATATTTTAATATTTTGATTAAGGAAAAACTAACAAAAAATATTAATTGGGTTAATGTACTATACCACAAATCATACAAGTGAGTAGACCTTATGCTAGACAGGATACTACTAGGATAGACCAGTGTTTTCATAAACATAGAACGTGCTTTTGACAACACCACTTTCCCCAAGAAAAAAACTTACTAACCAACAGGAATTTTTCACAGATAATTAGTAGATAAATACATAAGATGTTCTCAAAGCGAACAGTAAACATAAGTGTAGAAAATGTGAATATAAGAAGGGAGGGGTACTATCACTTCTATTATAGAACATGGTCCTCTACACCTTCATCAGCCGCCTCAAACGTGACAGGCCCTAAGCAATAACGTTTATAAGTGACCTGGCCATTTTGCAAACAAGGAAATTTGAGACTAACACTATGAAAGAATACAAGTAGCTCTCTAAATTATAGAACAGTGATGTAAGGACCATTAACTGTCTATTAATGCCTAGAAGACAGAAATGGTCCTTTTCACAAGAGTAAGGGATGAAAATGGAACTAAACTCTTCGATCTTCTAAACTCAAAAGTAAACTTTGCAACAGAGGTGAAATACCTAGGTGACACCTTTGACAACAAATAACATAAAACTCACATTTAAAAAAAAGCATAATGCTGATATGGAAATTCCTCACGTCATCAATTGAGTTAAGAGTTTAGAAATGTGGAAAAGTAGTAAAATATGTTAAAATAAAGTGATATAGATGATAAAAGTTGAAGATTGTTATGTGGTATAGATGAAATGAAAGAAATAATATAAAAGGGTAAAGAAGTTTTATTTAAATAAGAAGAAGGATTATAAAGAAAATATTCAAGAACCAGGCTGAGAAATAAAAGGAGTAATAAACACTAGAAACAAGGAGACTGGCGGGGAGAAGAAATAAGAAATACAACATTTGGTATTTGTTATTTTTTATATATTTAAAGCCGAATTAGCCCTCTTGATAGTTGTGGAAAAATTAGGAAAATTAATATACAAGGTGTTTTCATATCAATACATCGCTTATGAAATTGTTTATTAAGAAATTAAAAAATAGAAAGTATACAAACATAAATAGAATAAATGTCTTGAGATAAATAATTATAGTTTATTTTTAAAGGACAAAATAAAACAAATTGACTTTAAAACGGAGAAAACGTAAAATATTGAACAATCCGTAAATAAAAAAAAATCTTACCAATGGCGAAAATTAAAGCTGAAACTGCTACCTTCATCTTGGATTTTTTAGTTTTTACTTTTTTAAAATTGATACTAATACTAAGCCAATTCCAGTATTTATACTAAAATATATCATAGATTTATGTGCAAATATGTACATTTAAATAAGATGAATTAACATAGTTATATTTAAAATGATATCTTCTTCAATATACCGTGAAATTATGTAACTAGTATTAAATTATTTTTTAAAGATAAACGAAATAGTGAAATACTTTTAAATTTTTCAAAAATAATACATATTGAAGTAAAATTGCTTAGTAACAAAATAATATACTTATATTGTTATCAATTAATTAACGCCAGAATATAAAATTTGGTAGGTATTTAATTGTTACTTACACTTCCGATCAATTTAAGTCATTTTTTGTATTATTTAGAACTTAAATAAATACGAAGAAAAGTAAATAAGAAAAAAGGAAATAAAAATAGCCAATTGTCACAATAGCCCTTTTGGTAATATTTAAACTAGGGTGACCCTACAACAAGTATATGATCAAACTTACTATTCATATCTTAAATTTAAGACAAAAAATTATATAAACGTTTTAAACAGCTTTATTTTTGAAATTAAATATCATTAGGTACCCCTGTGCGTGCCACTGGAAATCCAGAAAAACTTTTTTTTTCGTTCAAGACTCCTCTTTATAAATTAATAATATCCAGAGAATTTTAATTTGATGTTAATTAATACGGCTCGTGTGCCGTAATGTGACCAATGATATATATCGTTATAGAGACTGCTCACTCATATTTAAATAGGACCACGAAAAGCGCCTTTCCGTGCGTTCACTAAATAATAGAATCGTTCTGACCCAAACGTGTTCTAAAATAAAATTTCATTACTTAAATATTTAAAAACACAAATATATTGATATATTTTACTCCAGGACAAGATAACAGTTGGGCGTTTTAAAAACATATTTTTTGTGTTGTTAAGTTGAGTTTTCATATAGTCAAGTAATATTAAGAGATCTAAACAATTTTATAACAGGGAAAAAGTAACAAAGTCCACACAAAACACATAAACTGTGACAGGCATATTACGTGAATATCTAAGCCATAAAAGATAAAAAATACTGATATTTATTATAATAATAAATATTATTAATAATATAGAATAAACTTTTCTTAATTACTAAATAAAATTAATTTTATAAATTGCTGCCTTATTGTAAATAGGACCATTATATTTTTTGTCAAAATGGATATTCTATATTTTCATAGCAACATTCTACAATATAGTTTCAGTTAACGATATAAACAATCTGTATCTGTAAGTTGGGGAAGGCGGGTCCCTCCAAAGCATTTAGGCATCATGAGGCCATTATACATCCTCCAGGATCATACAGAACCTACCTTTCAACTTGTCAAAACCTGCTGGTTGCTGCTGAGAGGTATCTAAAGACAGTTGCATCTTCCTGGCTCATCAAAATCCTGCACGTTATCAGTCCGGCAAAAATCAGCTGGTTGACGCTGAGGGGTGTGTATAAACAGATATCTTCTCAATTCATTAAAGTCCTGCAGGTTATTAACGCATCAAAAACCTGCAGGTTATTAACGCATCAAAAACCTGATGGTTGTCGCTGAGGAGTGTCTAAAGACTGTAGACACAGTCCTGCAGGCTATTAACATTGCCGAGAGGTATCTCTAGATACTCCATTTTTTTGAAGTGGCCATTTGGTGCCAGCCCAATGGTAAATGCTCGGGTAAAGTCATTCTATCCGCCCGCTTCTTTGTATAAACCACAATATAAACCATTAATTACTATCTTTAAAATGTACATTTAAATCTTAATAACAATGAAACACCATGCACAACTAGGCAGTACAATTTAATTGTAAAGTGTACTTAAAATTGTACTTAAGTACTCAAAATAATCAGTAATGGGTACATGTGTTTACTTTCATCCTGATGGGATTCAGTACTTGTAAAATTTTGAGTACTTTATAATTTAGAGTACTCAGTATTTTTGATTCCTATAGGTGCCGAGTAATAAGTTCAAGTACCGACGCGCGCAGAGTCCTAGGTAAGCCTTAGCTTGTCTTGTTTGTTGGGTCTTATTAAAAACGTTCTTTAGACATATTCATAGCCTCTGCTGTCTCTCTCACTTTAATTCGGCGGTTGTGTAGCTTCATTTGGTGAAGTTTAGCGATGTTATTGTCAGTGGTTACACTTTCTGGTCGTCCCGTACGGCCTCGTTTAAATTTAGTTACCCATAATTTAACGGTGGTAAATTATGGTGCAGAGTCCCTGTACACAACGTCATATCGACTGATTCAAACAATTGTCAAACAACAACTGAACGTCCAAAATAACTGAATTTTTTGTGACTAGCTGTCAAAAGATGCACAATCGCATTCCCTAGATTTTATTGACGAGTGCTAATATCTTTACGTTAGTACGGAAACTTTTCAGACCATCTTAATTCAAATACATAAATGTATATTAAAAAAATTTAAATGTACTAAGGATTCTAACCGAGGACGCGCACCAATGATAGCTTTCTATTAGCAATTTTTCTAAATTGAATAGACGCCAGTTAGTCCATTTAAATCCATTTAAAATAACGGTAAAAGGTCGAGAAATGCCGCACTTGACGAGACCACTTGTCTCTTACGTATTTTGGGGCGCTGATTACGAAAATGAGGGTTAAAACTGGCAGCAATGGTGGAACACCCCTAAAATAGGGGTGTACTTGTTGATTTGCAAACTAAGCCATCTTATATGTTTTTTAAGGCGCTGATTACGAAAATCGGGGTTAAAACTTCAGCAATGGTTGAACCACCCCTAAAATTGCAAAAAACACCCCTATATAGGGGTGTTTACTAACTCATCTCACATGTTTTTTTCGGGCACTGATTACGAAAATCGGGGTTAAACCTTGCAGAAATGGTAGAACCACCCCTAAAATTGCAAAAAACACCCTTAAATAGGGGTGTTTTTTGACTGTACTTGTTGTTTTGCAAACTAACTCATCTCATATGTTTTTTGGGTCGCTGATTTCGAAAATCGGTGTGTCGAGATTGGAAAATTTGTGTGACACCCCCTACATGTAGTTTGCAAAACAACAAGTACAGTCGAAAAACACCCCTAATTAGGGGTATTTTTTTCAATTTTAGGGATGGTTCAACCATTGCTGCAAGTTTTAACCCCCATTTTCGTAATCAGTGCCCCAAAAAACATATAAGATGACTTATTTCGCGAAACACCGTGACTGGTAATTTTTTCCGAAAATTCACCCCTTTGGAATGGGTGTTTCTGGTATGTGGGGGGTGTCACACAAATTTTTCAGTCTTCACACCCCGATTTTCGAAATCAGCGCCCCAAAAAACATATAAGATGAGTTAGTTTGCAAACCAACAAGTACAGTCGAAAAACACCTCTATTTAGGGGCGTTTTCTGCAATTTTAGGGGTGTTCTAACCATTGCTGCCAGTTTTAACCCTCATTTTAGTAGGGGACAAGTGGTTTCGTCAAGTGCGGCGTTTTTCGACCCTTTACCGTTATTTTAAATGGACTAAATCTATATTTTGTCATATCTTGGATTTTCGACACGAACAATAGTAATTTATGGAAAAGAAAGCTCAATATTAACTAACGGAAGGAAAATCGTCATTGTGTGACTACGACTTTAAGTACCGACGGATATCATCCTAATTGCATAACTATTTTTATTTACAGATTTATTTTTAGTATAATTTTTTTCACTACTTATTCCCGATGATGAAAATTTGACCGAAACTAGTTGCCTCTGGATAAAATAATATTTTTTCCTTTTTGGACATATCATCTTATCATCTTATTAATTAGTAGTAATTTAATTATCAGTAGAGCTTCGGTATTTTGGAAAAAAAATGCAATTTCTTAAATTCTTTGCAACAAATATAATATTAAATCAGAGTCAATTTTTAATAACGGGTAAGTACCTAATACTAATAATAATTATACTAAACTAATATATTTGTCAGTAGCAAAATGTTACGGTTTATTGAAGAAGAGCATAATTTTAATATGTTAATTTGATCACTATCTTGTCATTTGAAAATATAATTATTTCACATACGTACATCTCTGATAATTTTTCAGTATAAATACCAAAAAAAATTGAGTATTAGCATCAGTGTTGAAAAGTATCAATATCTAAAAATACAAAATGAAGGGACCAGTCTTTGCTCTAGTTTTCGCCATTGGTAAGATTTTTTTTTTTTTTCATTTGGTACTAATGTAACTATTTTTTGTGGTATTCCTTAATATTTTAATTTAATTTAAAAAAAAATCATTTACTTATTTTTCCTTTTTTATTAATAATTTTTGATGTAGCATTATAGATTCACTTATTTCAGAAAAATATTATATTTTAATACCCACATTTGATGTTTTCAAAGAAAATTCCTGGTCGACTTCTGAATGTCGTACCCCTAAGTATCATTCTGCTTCCAATTAAAGGTTTCGACAGTAACATAATATGTGAACAGGGATTTAGTTCTACTTTTCACATTTTACTCATAGAGAATCGTCAACTATCTCTAGGCTAGGTTGAAAATAAGTGGAATGATCTCATCGCTTTTCACTGCGATCCAGATAGGTCTATTGTGGCTCATGTCTGTCTCATAGTTCACCGTAAAAGCCACATCTTCTGATGAGGGCCATGGTTAAATTAAACAAAACTTGTTCCAAAAGATTTATATGTCTTCTAAGACCGTAAAGATAGATCAAGTTTTAACCAGAGTTTACGGCGTTCTTTGTTTATCAATTTCTTTGACATGGTTTAAGTTCCAGTTGGTTTGTTCATCTTTTTTTAGCTACAGGGTTTTCTTTCTTGTTTCTCAACATTACATTCTGTTAAAGGTTTTAGAAAATTGCAACCGCTTAATAATCAAAATCTGAAACCGCTGTTTTATTAATTATTTAACTAATTTTTGTGATGTTTTCAATTTATTTTTTATTTCTAGCCATCGCCAGTTGTTGGGCAGATAAATGCACACATTGTGCAA